TATGCAGGGCTCGTTGTCTATTTTGTTTGTTTGTTTGGAGTGTTGTTTCTTTGTTTTGGTTTGGGGGTTTTGTTGTTTGTTTGGTGGGTTTTTTTGGTTTTGTTTTTTTTGGGGGGGTTGGGGTTTTTTTTTTGGTTTTTTGTGTTTGTTTTTATTTGGAAGGCAACAAACCTGAAATTTATGGGATCAGCCAGGGAATGTGTAATGAGAAAAAGGCTTTGCTGAAAATTCCTGCAGAAACCTGCTGTCACCGACTCTTTTGGTTGTCCATGGCAATCAGGCTCTTTTGGGAATGGGGTGTTTGAGCCCTGATGGCTCATTATCACAACGATGAAGGTTCTGGGCCTGGCTTGAACCCAGATCCCGTTTCCCAGAGCTGTTTTTCTCCCATAACTCTGGTTATTTTGCAGACAGCATGAACAGAAAGGCCTTTCGGGACGGAATAAAGCCAGGCTGGCACTACTTCGGCAGGAAGATGGTGAGTGAGGAAGGGCTTGGGCTTTTCCAGCTACAGACGACCTGGTCAGTGGAGAAACAGAGCTGGGTTTTTTGCTACTGATGCACTTTTGCAAAGTCCACATGACTCAATTTTTTCTCCCTAAAGTAGAGGGGAAAATACCAGCCCTGCGGGGCTGTGGATGCTCTGAACATCTCTCCTGGGGTTTTGAAGTGCTCGGGAGCCCTTGGGTGGAAAATGGGAAGAGAAACCTTTACAAGCTGTGGGTTTGGGGGCAGTGAAGTGCCTGGTGCTGCTCCTGCAGGACGTGGCCGATTTCGAGTGGGTGATGTGGTTCACCTCGTTCAGGAACATCATCATCTTCGCCCTCTCTGGACACGTCCTCTTCGGCAAGATCTGCTCCATGACTGTGCCACAGGTGAGCAGGGATGTGCTGGGATGGATCTGAGAGCACCAGGGGTGGCCTGGGGTCTGTGGAAAGGGTTCTGGGGGATGTTCTGGGGCTGGGGCTTTCACCACGCTGACCACAGCTGCTCTCTCCCCAGCACCGGGCTGTGATGTACATGATCTACGGGGTCCTGGCTGTGCTGGGCAGCATGGGGCTGGTCTACCTGATGATCATCCTCTCCCACTGCCTGGTCCTCTACTCGGTGGCCCTGGCCAAGCAGAAGTGGCTTTGCTACGTGGCCGGGCTCTGCTGCCTTGCCTCCTTCAAGGTGGAACCCTTTGGCTCGTGGCAGGTGGGTGCTGTCCTGGCCACGTGTCTGCCTTGTTTCCAGGCCACTGGTGTCCCTCTCCTCGGGGTTATCCCCAGGGAGGGCTCCTGGGGCAGCCCCAGGCCCTGGCCATTTCTCCTGGCTGCATCAGAGCTCTCACAGCATTTTAGAGCGAAGGGACTGTCGAGCTTGGGAATAGTCCCACAGTGCTTAGGTCATGTTTTGGTGGCTTCATGCTGTTCCAGAATAAAGGACATCTGAGTCCTTCTTGCTGCCCAGGCAGCAATTTGTCAGCCTGTTGCTGCCCTGTGCCTCAGTTTCCCCAGCTGTAACACAGAGCTGGGATGGATTCAGTGATGCCCATCTCTTAGGTCACAGCCCAGTTAAGACTTTATCTCACAGGTGGGTGAAGGCCAGGTAGGACCTTATCATGAGATTCAGTCCCTCA